CCACGCTGTGGTTTGGGCCGATGGTCTGGGAAGGAAAAGACTACAAAAAAGAAACTGTCTAAAAGTGAACACGCTCAACGTTTTATTTCTAACTCTCTGAAGGCAGACAGCTTTCTTCTTAAGCACGTTCTTTGGGAGTTTACGTCTTCCCACTAAGTAGAAAAATTCTGACAGCTACATTTTCTATGTGCAAACAAGACTCTATCTCTGAAAGGATGAACGAAATTTAGCTATTAGGAAAGCCCCAACTTCTTTCTCATATGAAAAAATAATTATGAGCTTAAAGAACTTTACAAAACATACCCTCTTGCAGTTCTAAACGTTGAACTCTGCTTCCAGCCCTCTGCATCATCTTGTTTAGTTGATGTACATCATTGTGATGATTGCGAAGACATAATTCCTGTTTTGTGTCCGGCTTTTTTCCTTACTTATTTCTATCAATTTGCTTACTAATCTAACGGCCTAATTAATGGACATTTGGATTATTTGTTTCCCAATCCCCTAGAAAACCACTAGATCTGATACAGACTGCTTGTATCCCCCAGAACCCATATGCTGAACCCCCAATGTGATGGTACTTGGACGTGGGACCTAGGGGAGGCAATTAGGCTTAATGAGGTCATGACAGTGGGGGCCCCCATGATGAGGTTAGGGCCCTCATAAGAAGAGGAAGACACCAGAGTGTCCTCTGTGCTGTGTGAGGACACAGCAAAAAGGCAGCTGTCAGCTGGCTGGGAAGTGGGTTCTCACCAGGAACCGAATCCGTCAGTACCTTGATCTTGGACTCTCAGCCTCCAGAACTGGGAGAAATAAATGTCTGTTGTTTCAACCAGTCAATCTACAGTACTTTGTTATAGCAGCCCGAGCGGACTCAAAGTGGTAATGAACACCTGCCAGGTATCTGTTAGCCTCCACTAAACTGGCTTCTGTTAAGAGAACAGAAAAGTGGAGTCATGCTGACATCACGAAGGTCAGGACACGAAAAAGAAAAAAATGAAAATAAAATACAATAAAGAAAAAAAGTAAATGAAGCTCAGGACAGATGATGGCGGATGGGATTTACCTGCTTCTTGATCATTCTGGGAGGGCTAGGGGCTCTGCAGCTCCCGGGGGGCAGGTCTGCGGTGACAAGGCTGGTGACAAGATGGACCTAACAGCAAGATAACTTCAGAAAAGGTGAACCAGGGCCCAGCTGCATGGCGAGGACAGACAGAGGAGGCTCTGCAGCTCAATCAGACCAGCACCCCTAGAGTGCCCGAAAAACCAAGCCGTTTCCTGAGAAATTCCCCACTGGGTTCCTTTTTCCCGACACTGTATGTTGGAAAATTCCAAGCCTACAGAGAAGTTGACAGAATAATACAATGAACACTCATATACCCTTTCACCTAGATTCACCCATCCTTGACATTTTTCCATCCATCTTTGTACTCTCTCTCCATACACACCCATGATCTGTGCGTGGGACTATGTGAATCATGACATGTTTATCCCTAAACGTTTCAGCACGCACCTTCCTAAGAACAAGGACATTTTTCTACATGATCACAACGCCGGAATCACACTCAAGAAAGTGGGCATTGATACAATAAAATGATCTAATAAACCATTCGTTTGACACATGATCCAGTTATCTCCAAAATATTCCTTTCGTTTAAAGTCTTATTAAGTTTGTTACAATATTGCTCGTGTTTTATGTTTTGGTTTTTTGGCCTCCAGGTATGTGGGATCTTAGCTCCCCGACCAGGGATGGAACCTGCATCCCCTGCATTGGAAGGCGAAGTCTTAACCACTGGACCACCTGGGAAGTCCCCCAAATATTCTTTATAGCTCCCCACACCCCCGCTCCACCCCCCACCCCAAATCCAGAATCCAATCAATGATCAGGCATTTCATTTGTCTTTCCTGTCTCTTTAGTCCCCTTCAATCTCGAACAGTCTCCCTGCCTGTGACATTGGCCAGCTGCCTCATAGGAAGTCCCTACTCCGTTTCTGAGTAGACGGAGGGCCCGAGCACCAGGATGTCTGAGTCCTGGCACACACAGAGCGATTTGACTCTAGTACTATTGAATGACACTTGACCCTTTGCCCATGACCACTGTTTGGTATCCTACAATACAGCCTTGCTGGAATCCACGTCTCCATTAGGTAAGAGGCCTGCACATCCTAAAATCCTAACCTATACCTCAGCACCCAAAAAGCACCGTTTCCTGGGCTTAAAAGGGACCAGCTCCTGCTCTTGACGTTGTTCTCCGTAATTCTTTGTGAGGGTGGGGCATGTCCACCCCCTCCCCTGCCCGCTCCCACACTAATCCCTCAGAGACAAATGACAAGAGGTTTCACAATACAACTCTGCCCTCTGCTCGGCCTCCCTGCCCTGGCTGCTCTGCCCGCATTTCTTCAGTCCCAGTTCAGCCTCCCAGCCCACGGAGGTCCTTCATGCGACTTGGTTCTCCTGCGCCGAGGGGCCGCTTCCCCATGGCCCACAGCCGCTGTGGAAGGCTGCTTCCCTGGGCTCTGGGTCCTTCTCAATAATCAGCTTTGTGAGGGTGGGCAGCAGCTGCCCCAGGCCTCCCAGGCCTCGCCAAGAAGGGAGGCGATTGGATTAGAATGGAAAATGCAGGGGGGAGGGGAGAGGTGAGTTAAGCGCCACTCTCCCGGGGCTGGGGCTGTGCCTTCCCGCTCTCAGCAGCTGGGGCTGCCCCCCCTCCACTCCCACTGCTGCTGCTCACTTAGGGAGAGGCTGGCTGAGGGCGTCCCTGCTGCTTTCCCAAACCCAGACTTGAGTTATTTTTCCCCAGTGGGCCTTCCGGTCTGCTCTCCAGGACTGGGCAGTGTGGTCATCAGAAGAAAGCAGTGGGACCTGCTCTCGAAAATGCCCAAGTCCATTTCCAGACAGTTCCTAGCAGCTCCTTTCGGGGTAACGCCACCACTGGGAAGGCGGGGGAGTGGGTAACAGTGGGTATTTGTGTCCCCCAGCACCTGGCCCAGGGCCTTGTGCACAGCTGGAGTCGACGTGGGCTTGCTAGCTCAGAGAGGGCTGGAGACCTGAACCCAAGAGGGAAGGGCGAGACCTCCAAAGGAGGAAGTGGACTTAAACTTAATTCTCCCGTTGGGTGGATCACGTCAGGACAGGCCGTGGGGAGGAAGGAGGGACGCACAAGCCTCAACTGTCACAGTCATCTGCTCTGGCAGCACACCAGCTCCGAGGCTGTGTCCATCACACTAGCCTCCGTAAGGCGCCCTGTCCTTCGAAGCCCCCACTCGCCCTCACAGGACCTGCTTTCTCCCAGCCAGAGGCAAACCAGGGCTGCTTTTTAAAGAACCCTTACATAGATATCATACTGCCGAGAGCCTAGAGGCCCTGTAGAAAGTTCTTTCAGAAGTGCTGTAACCCAGAGGATCGAGATGACTGAGCACCACTAAAGGACATTTTATTTATTTATTTATTTATTTTTGGCCACGACATGTGGCATGCGGGATTCTAGTTCCCCGACCAGGGATCGAACCTGGGCCCCCTGCAGTGGGAGCGTGGAGTCTTAACCACTGGACCGCCAGGGAATCCCCTACAGAACATTTTAAACTTCAGTCCAGAAGCTGCCTCTGGGTGAAAAGGGGCCACTGTGTTAGCTCTAGGAGCAGGGCTGACTGAGAGCAAGCGGCAGCCTGGGAACAGCCCCTATACCTCCCCTGTTCCCAAGAGAATCCTAAATATGGGAGCAAACCTAACACATCAGCACACGTCCAAACCCCACCTGCCATCACCACAGGTGAGGTCAGCAAGAACCACAGGGCCTCGGTGCTCCCTGGGATGAATACAGCAGCTCTCCTCAGCCTGGTCAGAATACACTCTAATGACACAATTAGTCACCCTCTTGTCAAGCAAAGCGCCTGCTCACAGGGGGTCTGGAACAATTACTCAGCAAAGAGAAATGCCTCCGCCCAGCCTCGCTGCTTCCTCCTCCCTGCAAGGATTCTCTCCAGTATAAACCATTGTGTCCAGCAAAATTCAGAGTGGGCGCTGCAGACGTGCTCACAACGCACCAAAGCAGCTTGCTCACAGTTTTGACCGTCCTGGCCATCCTCCCTTCCAAGAAAGGGACCTCAGGAGTCAGAACAAGGCCTTCTGATCAGGCTCTGGACCCTTGCTGGTGGCCTGGAAGGGCCAAGGGTGCTGAAGTCCCGGGAAGGCGCCTGGCAACTAGGCTTCCAATCTAAAGAGATACATCGGAAAAAGTGTATCGGGCTGGGCAGAGGAGTGCCCACAAGCCATCAGACGCCCATCTGGATATCCTGAAGCAAGACGGCGGCCGCGGGGTCAGGACAGAGCTGCTGGACTGCAGAAGCAGGAGGGCGGCTTTGGGGGGCTCAGCCGTGCCGCAGGAGGGCCTTATCCTGCTTCCTCACTGCACACTGGCCCGACTGATCTGCAGCCCCTGGGGGAGTGTGCAAAGCACCGTGCAGTTTGGAAACGGCAATAAAAAGGATTGCAATTGTCCGGTGCCTTTCTTTCAGTCCCACCCAATGGGTTTCACACATAAATGACTCAGGAATCTGGATTTCAAATTAGCCTAAAAAGAAAAGGCAGCTTTCCTTTCTTTCTTTTCTTTAAGTATTATATTTTCCACTATCAAGACAACTGTCATTGCAGCCCTTGAAACAAGCCACATGCACGTGGATTTGGGAACCCGTGGGCTGGAGGGTGAGGGGTGGGGAGTGGGGTATGACCCGTGCCGGGGGAGGAGAGGCCAAGAAGAGGAAAGCCAGCCAGGCGACAAAACACAACTCCGACAGGCTCGGCGACACTTCGTGGGGGAGGGCGTTGAATCTGCACGCCGGGACCTTCCCTTCCTGCCGTCCGCGGGCTCCTGCCCTCCCTGAGGCAGCCCGGCTCAAGGCTGGGGGCCAGGTTCTCGGCTCTGCCGGGGGCGCCAGGGGGCGCCGAGCCGCGGAGGGTACCTGGCCCCAGAGTGGGAAGGGGCGCCCGGGAGGGCGGGTCCGTACCTGCCTCTCCTCGGCGGCCTGCTCCTCCGCCTCCGCCGGCGCCGCCGCGGACTCTTCCGGCGGCGCGGACTCGTCCGGCGGCGTGGGCTCGTCCGGCGGCTTGGGCTCCCCCGGCCCCTCGGGCGCGGCTGCCGGCTCCGCCGCGCAGGGGCCGAGCGGCGCGGCCGTCCCGCTGGCCTCGGCCGGGGTCGCGGACTCCGGGGGCGCGGGTTCCGGGGGGTCGGGGCTCGCGGCCGCCCCGCGCCTCACCAGCAGCCAGGCAAGCAGCAGCGCCAGCGCGGTGGCCAGCGCGGGCAGCGCGGCCAGCAGCTCCGCCGGCGCCTCCATCGCGCCGCGGCCGCCCGAGTGCCCGCCCGCTGGGACCCCGAGGGAGCGTGCCGCGCCGCGCCCCGCCTCGGGGCGGAGCCCCCGCCGCGCCCCGCCCCCGACCTCCCAGGACCCGGGGTGGGGGGTGGGGGTGACTCAAGCTGCTGGGGACCAGAGCCCTGGCCCCTTGGGAAGTGCTCCTGAGGCCCGAGAAGGGCCGAGCCCTCCCTGCCTGGGCAGGCCCGACGCTTTGGGCTTAGGATCCTTTTGAAAAGCAGTTTGAAATACCCAGTACCCCGGGGCCCTTTCGGCATCATTTTAGACCCGAGCAGGTCATCTTAGAGCACTTCGGAATTGCTAGCTGGGGAATGCTAAGGGCCAAGTAAAGACAGGAGGGTTCACTAGACGGTAGCTCTGGACTGCCTGTAAGACAATGAAAACACCAACTCTGCTTACTTTTAGCCACTTTATAGACACGTCACCAGCTGCTTTTACTCCTTGGGGTTGCTTTGATACGTTTTCACAAAGAGGACGTTTCTAGGTGCTGGCCGGTGAAGGCCCCTTCCCGGTCTGGACCCAGCGGCCTTCCACACAGGCCTCAGGGTATGGAGGCTGCCCCCAAAGACGGGCTTCAGGAATTCAGCACCAGGTGCCGTGGGTCAACTCTATTTCCCCTACTGTGTTTCTTCTTCTCATAATTCTGGAATGTATGAGGGTGGAATGAGGGAAAAGAAGCCTACTGTTTTTGTTTCTCCAGACCCTTCCAGGGCTCTGTCACTGAATAGTGTATGCTGGAGACAAATGCACTATAACCGAAAACTTCATTTCCTACCACTCCCAAACACTGCTCTAGTTATTTTTAAAAAACAAGGAGTGGACAAAGTTTGTAAGGTATCATGCCGAACACAGGCCTAATATTGAAAAACCAGGGTTCCGGTTTTTGTTTAGGATGCATTTAATACGTTTTTAGAAAACGTACAGTGATATCTGATGTAAGCCAAGATGCTGGAAGGAGTGAGTGCCTTTTTTTTTTTTTTTTGAAGAATTGCTTGTTGCTTCTTTTTTCTTTGGCTGCGCCACACAGGGTGAGCTTAATCCTGCTGCGTCACATGGTACTGGGGGACACGCAAACAGAATTTTAGTCGCAGTTGATGAAAAATGCCCCACAGCTATAAAATGTGGAGTGAGGTTTATCTCTTGGCTACTGGCTTTTGACCAGGGGGCACTTTCAGCCAAAGTGTTTGGGCCTTATTTTTGTCACCTGTCCACCTTGTTTTAAAATATACAGTTGACCCTTGAACAACATGGGTTTGAAGTGCATGGGTCCACTTAGGTGCAGGTTTTTTTCAATAAACGCATACTGTGGTACTACACAATCCGAGGCTGGCTGCAGAAACCAGAACCACAGATACAGAGGGCTGACTATATGTTTTTCTTGAATTTTCCACTGTGTGTAGGGAGGGTTGTTACCCCTAAACCCTGAGTTGTTCAAGATCAAGTGTATATCTAAGAGGTCCTATTGTGCAGACAAACTCAGTACACTTTATTGACTTTCAGATGAGTAAGAATGAAAACAGGGACAAGACAATGCAAACAGCCCAACCCCAAATCAAGTTGCTTTATTTAAAATGATGAACAAGTTTCATCCCAGTGAAAAGTTAAAAATGCCAATCCAGTTGCGGCCCCACCGGCATTTGGTGGCAGACCCCACGGGTAAGACCCAAGCAGAACTAGGAGGCGCTCAGGGTGCTCTACGTGACCCCGGAGGAGGCACCAGGCTCTCAGCAGACAGTCCCAGTTCCTCTGTAGTGTCCAGTCCCCGCGGAGACAGCAGGCAGGCGGGGCCAGTTCTCCTGCTCCCGGGAGAGCAGAGGATGGGGCCAGGTGCTCCAAGTTTTTGAACTTGAATCATGAGACAAAGTTGAGAGCCACCTCTGCAGTTTTGCTGCATACAATGTAACATCCGTGTAACATCACGACAGAAGCCGGGGAGGGGTGGAGTATGAGGAGAAACCAGACTCCACATGGAACCATCAGCGGGACCCAGTACACAGCAGGAACGACTTATTTGTGGAAATGCTACATACAATTCAAGAAACCTACAGCTGCGTGCTTATACGCCTACTTCCTAGACAGTGGTTTTTACATTTACTACAAAACCCCGGTTCCACCCCACACTCTTTTCTGGAGTCCTAAAGCATATCAAGGCGGAAACTCTAATAAATGTGTAAAGCACTTGCACCAGCAACCTTCTTGCTGATCCTTTGTTTAAATACCTTTAGCTGATTCACAAAGAAGCTGCGTCCTAAGTTAAAAATACAGCTATAATTATAATTATGTTCTTTTATGAAGATCTCATAAACTTGCATTTAGTAAGGACTGAACTTGCTTTTCTGGTCACGGAGATGGACGTGCACGGCTCTACCCACTCTGACCCGTGGCCCTTGTGAACAACAGCCAACTTCACTGTCTGTGAAGCTCCACGAGGTCAGGGAGCTGCGTTTATCACTGTGGCGTCTACAGCACCTAGAATAGTGCCTGGTGCTGAAACATTTGTTGACTGTTTTAATAATTAACAAATGGGCATCTGCAAGCGTGAGCAAAACGTGAATGATGTCCCTGCTTTTGGTGGCTCTCCCCTCAAAGGCATCACCCTCAACACAACAGCGCTACTGGCCCCAGAGGCCCCTGTGTGCGGCACTGACCACCTTGGGCTGATGGTAAAGCCTTTGGCACCTCCCTCATCCCCAAAGACCCAGAGCCCTCCTGATGTCCTGGGTCCCCCGCTCCTGTCTCGCCCACCCCACTCCTCCTCTACAGTAGTTATTAGTCCGGATCCTTTCTTCCAGGACCCAGCTTGTCGGCTTTAAGATCTGCTGTCGTCTCAGAAAATAATCTCTAAAAATAGTTTAATGTTGTATCTTTCTCCTTACTATCCTTGACACCACTCAAAGGAGTAGCTCACGCCAGGTGGGTAGAAAAGGTTAACTTTAGAACAGATGGACCCTTGGTTCCTGCTTCCTACCTCACCGTGATCACCCAGCCACACTCCACTGCTTTCTGTTTCCCCACCTCGGCCCTACTTTGCTTCCACAGTGGTGTGTTTGCCTGGCCCACAGTGACAGTAAAAGGCGGGCTTCTGAATCTCTGGCCTGGCTAAGACAACGAAAGAGTGTCCCACAGTCATTCGTGTGGGGTGGCGAGACCCAAATGTAATCCGTGCTACCCAGGCACTTTCAGGAGAGGTGACTGCGGGCCTGTCAGACGGGCTGGATCCCTTATATCTGGGTATTGTTTTTCAAACAGGAATCACTTTTGGCATCTGGGGAAGTAAAACTGGGTGGCTAGTCTCTCAAACCAAACTTCCACTTTACAATCCCTGCTGCTGCAAATGCATCCCGCCGCGCCCCCTGGTGGCAAGAAGCCTGTTTGGTGGTTTCATCCTTTCAACTGAAGTGGAGGGAGGCGCAGTTGGTATGGATTTTAGAGGAAAGGGAGTGAGTGTGACAGACAGCCCGGTAGCAACACTGGGAAAAGGAAAAAAGCATTTTGAAGATGTCAAGAAAAGTTTTTTAAAAACGAGGAGGAATGCCATTCAAATATGAATAAAATCTCTCAGGGTTTGGATCTGCTCACAACCACAGACACTGGAGCCAGAGGGCCAGTGAGGGGGAGTGGCAGGTAGAGCGATGCTAGGAAGTGAGCAGACGTTCCATCCAACCCAGACGCGTGTTTTGGTTGGCATTTCAGAATGCAGAAAACTGGACGAAGACAAAATAGGGGACCAGCCTTCTAGAGTAAAAGCCACATGACCGACCCAGAGAGTCAGGAAGTGATAACTGGTCTATCAAACATGGAACATGTGGCAAAGAAGCGACCAGGAGTTCCCTGATCACACCTGCTTGAAGGGAGGCTTTTGAGAGACACCACCATACAGCTCCAGCCACCTGCCCACACACCTCTGCACCAGTGAAGCTCCTCGGCCCCAAGCTACCGGTGCCCTTCCCTTCCTCATTCCAGCCCAGAAAATGCTTTTCACAGGGGCACGCCCTCAACAACCCCCTCTTAGGGTGAATTTAGGGACAGATGAAGGCGAGCAGGTGAACTGACAGGGCAGGAGATGGAACCCGCTGGGCAGTCCCTACCAGAGTTAGTTAGAAGCCTAAACAGATCCCAAAGGCCAGAGGCACCACCTCTGCATTTATTCCCAGCATGTAACACGATCCCCACCTAATGTCTGCAGGTCCAAGAAGTGGGGACACTATCATGAATCCTCTTACAGAGTGACAGCTTCTGACTTATGGATCACGTGGTGGGAATGATGGTGACAAATCTTTTAAGAACTTGGCCCTGTTTATAATTTAAGTTCTGTGATGACAAAATTATCCCTGGACTCTTAACAGCCTCTCTCATTGTGGAGAAAAAGTAACGAATCCTAAGATAGCACTAGGCAGTGGTGAGTGGCCGGGTTACTGCCACCGAATGCGTTTCTGGACGGATGACGGCACACAGGAAGGCGGCACACTCGCGGTCCTTACATGTAATCTCTTCACACAGAGCTCACCGCTCACCACTCTTGGCGTCTCCGCTTGCGTGCAGCCGGCCACGTGGACGGCAGGGGCCCCTCGCCAACACCAGCGAGGCAACAGATGCGACAAGGCATTCAAAGGATCACAACCCTCCAGCCTTGAGGTCGACCAGCTTGGTTGTAAAGGAGAAGCACAGCACCTTCTCACGCGACATCACGGAGGCCTTCGGTGCTTCACTAAGCATGCAGAGTTTTTTAACTTCTTGACAATCTAGTCTCAGTAAGCAGAAAAAAACAGCATTTGACCGGAGACGGGAGCTTGGGCCAGAGAGGATTATCCAAATTCAAAGAAGACAAAGGAGAAGGTAGGAGCAGAAGACAGGAAAACTGAGTTGGGTGGCCGCCAACAGCTCACGTGGGAGCCACTTCAGGGAGAGCTTCTGCTCAGGGGTGAGCACGGCCTCCACAAGTGTCCCTAATCCTGCCAAGGAAAGTACAACTGCCTGTAATCAGCATGTAGACA